ACTGTACACCAGGCCCCATGCTCAGCCTGCAGTGCAGGGCATTCAGTAAACCCTCCTGGCCACCCACTGCCTGCGATAGTAACTAATGCTGCTCTTTTTTCCAGAGGACACGCCTGAGGCTCAGAGAAGTAAGGTCACTGGCCCCAGGTCACACAACCAGGAGGTGGAGGAGCCAAGATTCAAGTCAAGATCTGTTTGACTCCAGAACCAAGGCTGGCTGACTGGGCCAGGGAGCACTGGGAGTCTGGCTTCGTCAGTGCTCCCCCTGAGAGTCTGCCGTGCACCCTCGGCCAGAGCAGTGAAGGGAGAACATCTGGTTCGGGGCGGTCAGGCTCCCGTACTGCCTTGCAGTCTGTTTGCCCCTGTGACAGGGGGCGCCGGCAGCGCCTGCCTCGGGGGGTTGCGGCGAATGAAATGGTCTCAATAGAGGGCCTGCTGGGCAGTGAGCATGGGGGACAGCCTGCGAGTGTGCTGTCAGCAGCAGCATTGCCACTGGACTGGGGGCCGATGGCCGTCCTGCTCCTTCTCACAGCTCCCCTGGGTGCAGGCATGTCTCAGCCTCCTCGTTAAGAACTTGAGACAACCTCGAAACCGGTTTGGCTCAGTGGATAGAGCGTCTGCCTGTGGACTGAAGGGTCCCAGGTTCGATTCCGGTCAGGGGCATGTGCCTTGGTTGCGGGCACATCCCTGGTGGGGGGTGTGCAGGAGGTGGCTGGTTGATGGTTCTCTCTCATCGATGTTTCTAACTCTCTATCCCTCTCTCTTCCTCTCTGTAAAAAATCAATAATAAAATATTTTTTTAAAAAAAAAGAAAAGAAAGAAAGAAAGAAAGAAAGAAAGAAAGAAAGAAAGAAAGAAAGAAAGAAAAAAACTGAGACAAGCTGGAGAAGACCTCTCAGGGCATTCAAGAGCCACAGCATCTGAGGGCAGCATAGGGGTGCTGACGTGACTCTGGAAATACATCTTGCATGAGTGCATGTGTCCACAGACGTGTGGCCAGGTGACCGCTACTGAGCAAAAGCCAAGAAGGAAGCCTGATCGTGGTAACAACTCATGTGTGTTTAGAGCAGGTTTTCTCAACTTCGACACATTGAAATGTGAGGCCAGCTAATTCTTTGCTTTGTGTGTATTTGGGAGGTGGGGGTGCCTGGCCTGCACTGTAGTGTTTAGCAGCATCCCTGGCCTCATCCACTAGATGCCAGTTGCCACCCCTCCTCCCCTGCCCTTAGCTGACAACCAAAAATGCCTCTAGACATTGCCAACTGCCCCCTGGGGGGCAAAACCACTCCCAGCTGACGACCTCCGGTTTTGTGCTTGATCTGTGCATGCACCTTACCCTCGCCACCTCCTCCCACCCGCCTCACACCTGGAGACAGATGCTGTTGGTCCTCCCCCTGTGCAGATGCAGGAACAGGGACGTTTGTGGTCTCACCAAGGTCACATTGCCGGCCTTTCAGCAAAGCCAAGACTCGAACCTGTAATAACCCAGATCTCTCTTTGTCTAGTCTCTTTGTGGGCTCCTTAGACTTCATTCACAATCACGTCTGAGACTAGAGATAATTTCATTTTGTGTCTCACCATCTGGCTGCCTTGGCACAACTGAGGACAGAACTTACATGGCACAAATTATAGCTCCAGCAGATTCTGTAATCTGCACAGAGGCTTTCTTTTGGGAAGTTAAGTTTGCTCAATTATCAACAATTTGGAAAATATAGGAGAAAGAGGGGGAAAAAATGAAATTTGTTACTGGGCTGCCCACTAAGGCCAACTCGCTAGCAGTTTTATCCTTTGATTAGCTTTCTCTGCTTTGAAATTTTGTGACACAGTTGCAATTACACTTCATGTACAATTTCAAATCTCGCTTTTCCCAAACTATACAAGATCATATTTTCATTTTATTACAAAACTGCTTCAATATTATTTTTAACTAGAGGCCCAGTGCATGGGGGGGGGGTGTTCCTTGGCCCACCTGCACCCTCTCCAAACTGGGACCCCTCGGGAGATGTCCGACTGCCAGAGATCAGGCCTAAATCGGTAGTAGGACATCCCTCTCACAACCCGGGACTGCTGGCTCCTAACCACTCTGCCTGCCAGCCTGATAGCTTCCCTGCTAGCCTGATTGATGCCTAACTGCTCCCATGCTGGTATGAACATCACCAACTGCCCTCCCCTGCCAACCCAATTGCTTCCAACTGCCTTTCCCTGTAGGCCTGAAGGGCTTGGGGAACTCCGGCTAAATGAGGTGGGGCTAAGGGGACTGGGGGACTGAGGCTGGATGAGGTGGGGCTGAAGGGACTGGGTACTGTCATCTTGTGGCTGTTGGCACCGCCATCTTGTGAGTAGTCAATTAGCATATTCCCTGTTTATTGACTGTGGGTGCCACCATCTTGTGAAGGCGTGATGGTCTATTAGCATATTCCCTCTTTATTAGATAACCTTGTTGCCTATTGTGGTAGAGACCCCTGCTTCTTCCCAATTCTCTCATCTTTCTCTCTTCTTTAGTAACAGGAATCTCATGCCCATTTGGTTAAGCCTGTATCCACCCTGAAAAAAGAAAAAAGCACTACATTTCCCACACCCTCTTGCAGTTAGGTGTGCCATGTGACTAAATTCTGGCCAATGGAATGTAAGTAACTTCTAAGTAGTGTCCTTAGGGAGAGGATACCTGCTCTTCTTCCCATCCTCCTTGCTGGCTGTCATGCAGATGTAATGGCCAGAGTTTAAGTGGCTATTTTTGGGCTATGGTGGAGCAACAAGAGAAAAGGAGCCTGAATCCCTGATGAGTGTATGAAGTCACCCACTCCACATTTCTTTTACATAAGAGAAAAACAAACCTCTATTTTATTTAAGCCCCTGTTTCTAGTATTTTGGTTTCACAATCAAGCCAAGATGAACCGAATCCTGAGCATTGCACTGATATTTTGCCAGGGGAATCGTCACCAACATTCTTTAGGGATTATCACTTGACTAACATAACCATTCCTGGGTCATTGGGCGTTTAGGTAGCTTCTGACTCCTCACTATAAATCATTCTGCGATGAACATCTTTGTGCATTTTCATTATTTCTGATTATTTCCTTGGTACGGAATTCCAGAAAAGGGATTTGGAGGTCAAAGAACACAAGCATTCTTACTACCTGTTAATGCTTGTGACCTAACTGCTTTCCAAAGGGACATGCACGCACCCCTTCCCCAAAGAAGGGGAAGTGGGCTCCATTGTGGAGCCAGGGCAACAATTCCAACTTCCAAAACCTTTGCCTCCAGTCACCGAAGTGGAATCATGGATAGTCGTTCTCTACTAGTTCTTGAATAAAAGAGAATGATAAGAAATAATTGGCCATGAAGCTGAAGAACCTAGGATCATCTACTGTCAGTCAGGGGGTCTGAGTCACAAGCGGGAGAATCCACCACTTGGCTGCTTCCCAAGGTTATGGGGTGGTTCTAGCAGGAGACCCAGGATTTATGGAGGAGCTGCCCTTTCCCAGAGGGCCCCTCCCACGCTCCTCCCAGCTCTTGTCCTGTGCTGCTTGTCTAATGGCACATCTCTGGCAGGCATGTCCGCCCGATGAAGCCCAAGTCCCACGCCTGCACCAGCCTGCGAGGGAGGCTGGGAAAGCGAGTCTCCCGGCATCTTCCTTTGGAAGGTGTAGCTACTAACATAGGAACTTCCCTGAAGGAGGTATGCAAAGTCTGGAGCAGCCAGAGAGAAGGGCAAAGCTTAGCAGCCAAGTGAAGATGCTGGGCTTGGGGGAGAAGTCCAAACAGGTTTCTGGCCTTGCTTTTTTATTTCTCCTCCACTTGGGGTGGAAGAAGAGCAGGGAGAAGTACAGATGACAAGGATATCACTCTCGTTGTGTCTCCCATGCACTTCACCCGGCGAGGCAAATGCTGAGTCAGAGCTGGGAACCCACGTCCCTCAGGCCCTGAGCCCTGTTCTCGCCGGCATGCCAGCCGCCAGCAAGCCAGTGGATGCCGTTATCTGATGTAGATGTGTTTCCTGGACCACTGGCCACAGCCTTCAGGTGGGCCTGCCACACAGTAGGTGCTCAGCGTGCTGGCCGGGCCAATCGGTAAATCTTGAAGGAATAAATGAAGGAAGGAACCTTAGAGCCCTGGGACTAACATTGATTGATTCAACCCATAGTTCCTGAGCATCTGTGATACCCCAGGCCCTGTGTTAGGTGCCGAGGATACTGCGGAGAGAAAACAAACCTGCCCTCATAGTGGGGGGGATGGTCGATAAATACGAAAACCCCAAAATAGCAACGTGCCACAACATAATATGATAGGACACCAGGTGCTGTTAAATGCCTTACGAAGAAAAGTAAAACTGGGTAAGTGACTTAGAGATGCTAATGCTGAAAAGTGGTTGAGCAAGTCCTCTCCGAGAAGGTGACATTTGAGCGGAGGCCTGATGCACGTCTGAGAGAAGTATATTCCAGGCTCAAGAGGCAGCCAGTGCAAAGGCCCTGGGGTAGGAAGGAGCTTGGTGTGCGCTCTTTGAGACAAGGCAGCCAGGGAGGTAAGGGTTACGCCAAGTTTCCCAACCTCAGCAAATCTACAGAACCCTTCGCAGGCGGAAACGGGGTGGCGTGGGGGTGGGATGGGTTCTGCACTCTCAAGCTTCTCTGGAAAAACATGATGTCAGGGACAGGCCGTAAATCTTGGCTTGTCCCGGAAAACAATGGGCCCTCGGAACCAGTGAAGTGTCGGGGCTGACAGTAAATGGCCGAAGGGCCCAGGGACGGGCACATCATGTGGAACTTGTTAACAGATCTGGTTTGGAAAAGAATTTCCCAGTGAGGGGCAGAAGCTTCTGGCCAGCATCAAAAAGACGTTTATTGTGGTGCCTCCGTGCAAACATGAAAAATGAGGATTTGCTGCCTAGCAAGAGAGATGTTGCCGATATGTTGAGTAGGAAAAAAAAAAAAAATAGATCACGGGACAGTGTGATATATTGTGCAATCCCTTTTGGAAATTCACTCGTTCGTTCCTTACAGGCCTACTGTGTGCTGACGCTGCTGGGAGCGGAGACACCGGCAGGACGGCCCCCGCCTCCTGGAACTTCCCGCACAGCGGGGAAGGCAGATACGGATCAGAGATCCCCGCACAGACATCATCACAGACTCGGATCAGCCTGAGAAGAGAAGATAGCAGTGCCTGAAGAATGTGCACCTACACGGAGAGGCAGGAGAAGGCGGCGAGGATGTACTCCAGCATGTTAAAGGGGTAGTAGCATTCCAGGTGATTCTGCCCGTTTCCTTTTCTTTTGCTTGTCTGGCGGCTCTAATTTTTTTTTTTTTTTTTTTTTTTAGAATGTCATGCTTTATAATTGAGAGAATTAAAAACACAAACAACCCCACAGTGAATAGAGGGGTTGGAAATCATGTGTCCAAAGATGACTTAACGCCAGGAAAGAAAGGAAGGACACGTAAGAAACTGCTCCCTGTGCTGGCTTCCGGGCAGGGGAGCCAGGGGCCGTGGAGGGAAAGAGCTGCGCTTCTCACCGGACGCCCTTCGAACCTGTCCCACGTGTGTGCGTTCAAAAAACAATAACGGTAAAATATGCAAAGGTATTTTTTAGATGAAACTTCGAGTTGGGCTTTAGTTCTATAAAAAAATTAAAAAGCAGGTAACGGTAGGATCGCAATATAAAAACATGAACTGAGCCGAATTTCCACAAAAATCTTAGGATGCTTTCTCTCTGGGTGACCTTGTTTTCTTCTTTGTATTTTTCTGTATCTCCTATATTTAAAGTTAGAAGAATAGCCCTACCTGGTGTGACTCAGTGGATAGAGTGTCGGCCTGCAAACCAAAGGGTCCCGGGTTCGATTCCAGTCAAGGGCACGCAACTTGGATGCAGGCTCCTCCCCGGCCTGGGGCCCTGGTCAGGGCTGGTGCAGGAGGCAACCAATCGATGTGCTTCTCTCACATCGATGTGTTCCTCCGTCTTTCCCTCTCTCTCTCTAAAAAATCAATGGAAAAATATCCTTGGGTGAGGATTAACAACAACAAAAATAGATAGATAGATAGATAGATAGGAAGAATAAAAAGACAAGAAAAAGGCTACTGTGCTTTACAGACGTTGTTTTGCTTAATTCTCTTAGATAGATATGATTATTATCCCCTTTTGACAGAGGAGGACACTGAGGCTCAGCAGGGAAGCCAAGGCCCGAGGTCACACAGCTAACCCAGGCTTCGCTAACCCCAGAGTCTGGCTGTAAACCCGGAGGCTCAGGTGCCCTTCAAAATGGCTTTTAAGAAAATTGCATTGCTTTGAAAATGGTGAGGGGTGAGACGGGGGGGGGGGGGGGGGGGGGGGGGGGAGGGGGGCGGGAGGGGGGGGCGGGAGGGGGGGGGGGAGAAAAGCAAACAGACCAAACAAGAAATATTACATTTTTGCAACCACTTCTTCAAGCCCTCATGGGGCCTGAGACCAACTGGGCTTGGGGAGGGTTTCCTGGCAAAGACACTGTTTGCATTTTGGGAGAGGCGCCCGTTTATTGTTCTTGCCCCCTCCCCATGGCACAGTCTTGCCCTCCCCACACCAGTGTGGCCCCCAGTCAGGTGCCACCCAGATGCACGCACCTCTCTGAGCCTTCCCCGTGAGGACGGCCGCATGGGCCCGGCGAGGACGCCGAGCTCCCCGTGGGCTGGCCGCCCTGCTGGAGTCCCAGCTGCGCTGTTGGCCTCGTTTTTACGGAGAGATGAGGCTCAGAGGGGCTGGGTGACTGGCCCACGGTCACACAGTCGGAACGTGGCTCCAGGTCTCGCCCCCTCTCTGTCCTGCCTCCCCTCTGGGACCGAGCACGAGCTCTCTTGTGGGATCAGGTGGTGGGAGGGAGGGGTGAGTGACCCGCAGCCCCGGCTCACAGGGCAGGCCGCCCCCGAGTGCCCACCACTCTCCAGCCGGCTGAGGTCAGGCCTGGGGACTGAAGCCTGAGCTGTGAGCTGCGAGGCTGGGCAGGCGGCCACCACAACGGGGACCGGGAAGGCGTGCCCTCCCTCCGCCTGCCCGACAGCTGCCTGTGGCCGCCTGCCAGGCCCTGCCTGACGTCAGGGTCTGACCAGGGACATAATGTGCTGGCGTCAGGACAAGGGCTGGCTGCAGGGAGACAGGGCCGCGAGGCGGGGCGGTCAGAGGGAGACAGGCCCGGGGGGGAGGAGGGGGAGAAGAAGAGAGAAAAACAGAGAGAGGGAGAGGGAGAGAGAGAGAGAGAGAGAGAGAGAGAGAGAGAGAGAGAGAGAGAGAGAGAGAGAGAGAGAGGCAAAAAAAAAAAAAGAAATATAGAAACAGACAAGGAAACAGAAAACTAGAAGAGGGGATGACACAGTGAAAAAGAGAGATTGAGAGACACAGAGATAGAGAAAACAAATAAAAAGTTGTTCAGAGGAAACCAGGAAGAGAGAAAAAGCCAAAGGGGAGAGAGAGAGAGAGAGAGGAGAGGAGAGAGAGGAGAGAGAGAGAGGAGAGAGAGAGGGGAGGGGAGGAGAGAGAGGAGAGAGAGGAGAGAGCGAGAGAGAGAGGCAAAAAAAGAAATACAGAAACAGACAAGGAAACAGAAAACTAGGAAGAGGTGATGACACAGTGAAAAAGAGAAATTGAGAGACAAGGAGATAGAGAAAACAAAAAGTTGTTCAGAGGAAACCAGGAAGAGAGAAAAAGCCAAAGGAGAGAGAGAGAGAGAGAGAGAGAGAGAGAGAGAGAGAGAGAGAGAGAGAGAGAGAGAACAAGGGAGAAGGGAGAGGCGGAAAGACCATGGGTGGGGCAGGGGATTAGGTGCAAGCTGGGAGACCCCAGGCCTGGGCCGGGACGTGGCGCTGCCCTCGTGGCTGGTGACTCACCCCCATTCCTTACCTGGGCCACGGCAGCCTCACTAACGTGGGGAGAGGACCTCCTTCATGATGGGGGCGGGGGGGAGAGTCGATCTACATGCTGAGCTTTCCCAGAGCCTTCCCATAGTACGTGCTCAATAAACTGGACGTAAGCATCGAGGGTGTCAGTCGGGTAAGGAAGGAAAGAGACCCTGTAAGTGGGCACTGACTCTGCAAAACAGCCCTCAGTCCGCTCTCTTTCATGCAGCCGCCGTGCCCCCTCCCACCCCTGCAGGACTCAGCATGAGGTCATCGGCTCAGACCTTGGCCTGGCCTTGCCTGTCTCAGGGCCCAGCCCCCAGTTTATGGGCTGAAGAAGGCCGTGGTCCCAGGGCCATCGCGTCACCAGAGCCAAACAAGGCCGGGCCCTGGTCACTGCCGGCCTTCCAACCTCATCATCCCTTATCCAGCTTAATCATTAAGTGACCCTGCAGGGCTGAGGGGCCGAGCCGGCTGCCCTCCCAGTGTGGACAGCGGTGCCAGCGTGTCCCCCACTAATGTGGGGACACACGTTCTGGAGACGCCAGGTAGCGCTGGCAAAGCATCCTTTCTTTTGTTCCCACTTTTTTCCAGGAGTCTTCCTCATCCTCAACTTCCAAGTTCCCATTTATTGAGCACTTACTGTGTACAGGGCATGGTCTCAGTCCTCCTGACATCCCCAAGAGAATGAGCGCTATTGTTATTCCATTTTACAGATGAAGAAACTGAGGCTCAGAGAGCTGCAGTCACTTGGCCAAGGCCACGTGCTAACAAGTGGCAGAGCCAGGATCCTAGCCTGGCCACCCTCTTAACCAGTTAGCAGCTCCCACTTTCTGAGCAGCTTCCCAATGCCGAGTTTGAGCCAGAAGCTTTGCTGAGAGAGAGAGAGAGAGAGAGAGAGAGAGAGAGAGAGAGAGAGAGAGAGAGAGAGAGAGAGACCACTCCCCCAAGTAGCCCACTCCTTGCCCCTGTTCTTCACATAAGACCCCACTGTGACTTCTGGTGGTTTCAGTTCTTAGGAGACACTAACTCTATTCCAGGCCCTTCTAGGTCCTTGTTTGCTTGGTATAAATGATGCCTCGACTCCTTTTTACATATGAAGACAGTGTTTTAATCACTGACTGAGACAATAGACCAGGCAAAAAGTCACTAGGAAGATCGAAATACCTTTAAAGAACTTGTGTTTTGTTCCAGCAGCATTGAATGACATTTGAAATCGGCCACACATGGATGCATTAAGTACCTACTATGTGCCAGGTCCTGTCCTTCATGCAGGAGATACATCAAAGACCTGCTGGGACTTTAGAAATGACAGCCTCATGGGGAAAGTGGAAAATGCACAAGAAAACAAATAGATGATCAAGATAATGTCAGAGTGTGCTAGATGTGACCGTAGGGAGAGGGACGGGCTATTACAGAGAGACTGGTGTCCAAGAGGAGGTGAGGCCTGAAGTAACCAGCCCTAGGAAGAGGCGGGGTGAAAGAGTCAAAATAGAGGGAACAGTGTGTGCAAAGGCCCTGAGGCAGGAGCTTCAGTGTACTGAGGAACAAAAAGGTCTGTGGCTGGAGTCAAGTGAGAGAGGAGGAGAGGAGAATGGAGAAATAATAACTCACCGATGGGCACAGCCATGTGGCCACTGAAAGGGTGACACATGTACTCTGAGGAAAGTGGGAATCATGGAGGATTTTGAGCACGAGAGGCACAGGATCTGACTTAGATTCAAACAAGGTCTCTGGATTTTAGGCCCAGAAATAGTTAGAGGGTGATGGGAAAGCAAAGATGTCCACATCTTACTCCCCAAAACCAATCCATGTTACTTTATGTGGCAGAAGGAACTCTGCAGCTGTGACTTTAAGGATCTTGAGGTGGGAAAATTATCTTGGGTTATCTGATAATTTTATTCAGGCTCAATGGAATCACATGAGTCCTTCTAAGATGCTGGCAGAGGGAGGGTTGGTTACAAAAAAGGGGAAGGCAGAGACAAGAAAGAGACTGACAGAAACAGACCAGAGGGACAGAGGAAGGGGCTACAAGCCAAGGAATGCAGGAAAGCCCTGGAAGCTGAAAAGGGCAACACACTGACTTTAACCAAGTGAGACTGACTCCTGAGAATCAGACTTCTGACTTCCAGAACAATCCTATCTAATAAAAGGCTAATATGCAAATGGACTGAACCACGGAACAAACGGTCACTATAATGCCCACTGACCAGCAGGGGGCAGAAGCTCAATGCAGGAGCTGTCCCCTGGTGGTCAGTGGGCTCCCACAGGGGGAGCTCAGCTCAGCCAGGAGCCAGGCAGCGCAGCGGTGGTGGCGGGAGCCTCTCCTGCCTCTGCAGCAGCATTAAGGATGTCCCACTGTAGGCAAAACTGGTTTGGCTCAGTGGATAGAGCGTCGGTCTGCGGACTGAAAGGTCCCAGGTTCGATTCTGGTCAAGGGCATGTACATTGGTTGCGGGCACATCCCCAGTAGGGGGTGTGCAGGAGGCGGCTGGTCCATGTTTCTCTCTCATCGATGTTTCTAACTCTCTATCCCTCTTCCTTCCACTCTGTAAAAAAATTAATAAAATAATAAAAATAATAAAATAAAAGGATGTCCCACTGTTAGGGAGCGGGCCTAAGCCATCAGTTGGACATCCCCAAAGGCTCCCAGACTGTGAGAGGATGTAGGCTAGGCTGAGGGGGACCCCCCTTCCACTGAA